CCTCCCAGATGGTACCTTCTGTTCAGCCTCCTGCTCCCTTCGCCTAATTTCAGTACTTTACACTTTCCTGAGTTGAATTTTAGTAACCATTTTCTAGACCAAATCTCCCGGTTTGTCCAGGTCGTATGTGTGTCTGTGTCTCTTAAAATGCCTGTGGGTGTGTCTCGGTCTCTTAACATGTCTGTGGCTGTGTCTCGGTCTCTTAAAATGTCTGTGGCTGTGTCTCGGTCTCTTAACATGTCTGTGGCTGTGTCTCGGTCTCTTAAAATGTCTGTGGCTGTGTCTCGGTTTTTATTCCCGCCAGTGAAGACTTGGATTACGCCTGTTCGCGAAAGAATATTAGGAAGGTTGTGAAGCTGTAGATGAATAGATCATAATAGGCACATAATAGAATTGTTGGTGTGTGTTAAATTAGGTAAAACAGAGAATTGCTAGAATTCCAGGTGTTCGAATATGTAGAGTGTGATGTTAATAAAACTGGAAGTGATGCAGACAAGTTGAGTACATATTTAGAGGAGTGAATTGATTAGACAGTAAAGGAAAGCAAGAACATGTCTGTGGCTGTGTCTCGGTCTCTTAAAATGTCTGTGGCTGTGTCTCGGTCTCTTAAAATGTCTGACTGAAGGTCAAGTGGTAAGGTAATTATCAGGAATTAACGCTAGCCAGTAGGACTCCATAGCACTTGGAAGGAAGATGAGACAGACTAAGAACTCTTGAATTATAAACCTAGTGGAAGACCGGTGCCCAACCACTTCGGTCATTGCCCTACCAACAAGTCCACGGGGGTTCTACCTTGTGCTGGTTCACGGGATCAATGTCCCTACGGCCAGGCCATAGACCAGAATCTGGATTCATATAGCCGTTATACAAGTACTTGGGAACCTACAATTTTTTCAAATTTTAGGCGACTTATTTACATCTCGTGAGCTCTGAAGCACTGGGAGGCTGTTTATTACAATAATATTTAAGTGAGAAGCTTCGATACTCGTAATATAAATGTAAACAAAGTCGCCAAAAATTGAGAAGATGTACAGCTTTGTAAGTAGATGCGTAAATATGCTTATTAAATTCAAGCTCCGGAACCTGCTTGATGGTCTAGTGAACTTTCAACTCCTTTATCCACATTACCTGAGTTTATCCTCGTCGAGGATAAACTCAGGTAATCTCTAGTGGTTTAGACGAGGGACAGGAAGCCGCCCATTTGTCCTGATTTTTTTCTCGAGCTGGATTTTGAATTGCAATGTTTTGCCCTTTACGGCATCAGCGGGTAGGCAGTTCCATGGGTTTATAACCCTTTGGTTGAAAAAGTGTTTCTCGTTTTCTATCCTCCATTGTGGCTTGTTGAGCTTAAAACCGTTGCTCCTTGTTCATGTTACATCTGACCTTTTGATGACGTAGTCTAGCTCAGTATCCTCCAAATTGTTCAATATTAAAAAAAATCCATGAATTCATATCCCAAAATGGATATCTATGAAGCTATAGAACTTACAGTATCTGGTCAACGTACCAATGTGTAATGATAGGCCACCAGTAGTCCACTCTTTCTATCACTCTAATTTTCCAAACAATAAAATTAAATCTAAAAAAATTAAATATTCCTAGGCTTAAAATAGCACGTTATATATATATATATATATATATATATATATATATATATATATATATATATATATATATATATATATATATATTACGTTACTGTATTACGCATAAAATAGTGTATTAGGTCTAGGATTACTAGGAAAGGTTAAGTTGTCTTGTATTCACGTTGCGGGTTAAAAAAAAATATTCCCGGTTTGTCCAGATTTAATGATACAAAAGTCAACTTTCTGGTGGTCCATCACTATATTGGTGGTTTAGACTGTCAGCATTGGTATTTTAGGAGGCACTGGTATTTTAGGAGGCACTGGTATTTTAGGAGACACTGACCTAACCTTTTAAGAGGATGGGATGCTATGGGCCGGAAAAAAATGCTATATAAATGTGGACGAATTATACTGTAGGTTGATTGACATTTACTCCAAGGGAACACTGTATGTCTTGTCAGTATTGCAGTCGAGATAATCATTATTTTTATTTGTTGTTTTATTAGTCGAATTATTAATGATGAACCACAATCGTTGTTGTAATTCTAATTATCATTGTCAGTAGAATTTGCCGAACGTTATATTGACGAGAAGTGAGCGTTATTCTGACGAGCGGTGTTGATGTTTGTGTTCGGTGATTTAAAAGCCTTTTGATTGTTTAGCCGAAATTCAAAACGGTTCATTACTGGCGTAAATAAAAATTCCTGGTTTATTATCCAGCATTTTGCAAGAATTTGTAAACCAAATTTGCATACCAAACTTGGCGCAATTTCCACTGCGACTCTTTTGTCTCTGGCCGTCAAACTCTGCCTCTGTCTCTGTCTCTCTCTATGCCTGTCTCTGTGTCTCTCGGTGTCTCTCTCTCTCTCTCTCTCTCTCTCTCTCTCTCTCTCTCTCTCTCTCTCTCTCTCTCTCTCTCTCTCTCTCTCTCTCTCTCTCTCTCTCTCTCTCTATCTATCTATCTTCATAAATAATGGCCATTATACCGCGTGGAAGAATCTCTTAATCGTTCCTCCGCCTACAACAGTCTGCTTGAACTAATAATGCACCAGAGAGACATTCGCTTTATATAATATAAGAACCATTGATCGTCATATATGATATAAAATCAGTTTCCCGGTGTAAAGGGAAGTGTGGGTGTGTTGCTGTCAGGTGTAATTGCGCAATGGTTCTATCTTCCTGCTATCCCCTGCTATGGGGGATAGCAGGAAGAATATCCTGCTATCCTGGCGCGCAGGTGGGCGGGGATGGGGGTTAGGATTTAGGAGTGGGATAGAAGCAGCGGTTGATCCTCCTTCACACCTCTTCCTTACCCGTGATAAATGGCGAGCGATATCCTCGGGCGGATCGGTAAAAGTGAGGAGAATATAATTAATGGTGTGTTTATCTTCCTCTTGGCCGACCTCTTGTATAAAGAAGGCATTTGTAGGCCTCAACTCTGGCGGTGGAAAGGCTGAACTAAAAGAAGGAGAAAAGTGGGACTGTATGGGGGAATTTTTCATGCTGATTATTTTATTTTTTAATGTATCTTTTTATTTTTTGTTCTTTAAAATCTTTCTCTCTCTCTCTCTCTCTCTCTCTCTCTCTCTCTCTCTCTCTCTCTCTCTCTCTCTCTCTCTCTCTCTCTCTCTCTCTCTCTCTCTCTCTCTCTCTCTCTCTCTCTCTCTCTCTCTCTCTCTCTCTCTCTCTCTCTCTCTCTCTCTCTCTCTCTCTCTCTCTCTCTCTCTCTCTCTCTCTCTCTCTCTGTCTCTGTCTCTGTCTCTCTCTCTCTCTGTCTCTCTCTGTCTCTGTCTCTGTCTCTCTCTCTCTGTCTCTCTCTGTCTCTGTCTCTCTCTGTCTCTCTCTGTCTCTGTCTCTCTCTCTCTCTGTCTCTGTCTCTCTCTGTCTCTCTCTGTCTCTGTCTCTCTCTGTCTCTGTCTCTCTCTCTCTCTGTCTCTCTCTGTCTCTCTCTGTCTGTCTCTCTCTGTCTCTCTCTCTCTCTCTCTCTCTCTCTCTCTCTCTCTCTCTCTCTCTCTCTCTCTCTCTCTCTCTCTCTCTCTCTCTCTCTCTCTCTCTCTCTCTCTCTCTCTCTCTCTCTCTCTCTCTCTCTCTCTCTCGTATACATAATCTTGGCTTTGCCTCTTCACTCTTAAAACAGGAAATCTTATTTTCAGATTTCACCTATTGGACAAAGTAACAGTACAGTCTACATAGTTAAAGAACACACAAGAAACGTAGAGAAAACACTCTGAGAAAGAAGCATATACGGTAAAAGACTTAAGATAGACAAGCAAACGACCAACTGTAGAGAGCACGATCAAAACAACAATAACAAAGGGGGTACAATATAATCTTCAGTAGAGATACGCTATCGGGTCTCTCTCTCGCTATCAAGGATATCGGGTTAGGTCGGATCAGGCAGTAATCACGTTCACAAGGTTACCCTGGCCAAGGCGGTGATCTATGAAGGTCATCAGACGATATCAATCTGATTATAGGAGCTATTAAGGTCAATCAGATTAATCTACAATCAAGATCATCAGATTAATTGACTCATGTTAGGGTGCTATCACAGGGATTAAAATTCCATCAGTCAAGTCGGCGAGTTATTTAGTGGGATTAAGTTGACCAGACCGCACACTAGAAAGTGAAGGGACGACGACGTTTCGGTCCGTCCTGGACCATTCTCAAGTCGATTGTGTGGACTTGATAGTAAATATAGTTATCCCGTTAGTGGGATTAAGATTTAACAGCCACTTCAAGGTGGAATCAGTGGAATGGTCCCACCAACAGCCGCATCTCAAGGTAGTTACCAGAGACGGTGTTAGAAAACACTTCAACCCGTTCTCGCACTTTCGTATAGTCAGTATTGACTTATTAAATACGTGCATATGTGACATACTAAACATACTAGTTTACCTTAAAAAGCTTCATAGAAAACACCGACCTTACCTAACCTTCTTAGTATGTTAAGATAAGCATCTTATTGCTTCGTAATTACGATTATTACTTAACCTATTATATGTATAGGTTAAGTAATAATTGTAATTACGAAGCAATAAGATGCTTATCTTAAGATACTAACAAGGTTAGGTAAGGTTGGTGTTTTCTATGAATCTTTTCAAGGTAAACTAGTATGTTTAGTATGTCACATATGCACGTATTTAATAAGTCAATAATGACTGTAAGAAAGTGCGAGAACGGGTTGCACACACACAAGTTAACCCTACAACTCCCTTAAAAAAATGCCAAAGGAACACTGAAAACAACGAAATTGTTGTTTTGAACGTACTGAATACTTTCCTCTTGCCAACTATGTTCATCAGTTATAACTTGTAGTCAGTACTTAATCCGTTATCGGAGTAAGTTTGGACAATTTCTGTCTACCTTATCATCGCTATCAGTTGTTTCATGAGTGGTGGAGCGAGATGCAGAGGCTGGGCAATCTTCCACTCGCCACAACAACTGACAGCCACCTCCATCAATAACGACGCCACCTCCACCAATAGCGACGCCACCTCCACCAAGTGACGCCAAAGAATACGAACTTGAACGACTATTCAAGCACTCCACACGAGGGAGGACAGAGAAGGTACGTTTACAAACTTTGATCTTTATATGGCTGCCTCTGCTTCTCCTCTATTCATCTATCCTTCTCCTTGCTTGCCTCCCTCCTTGCTTCGTCAGGAAGTTACCTTGTCGTTCTAGACTGTGTCTACCATTGTTTCTTGTCACCATGTAACTTCTTCTTTTACTCTCTAAATCTCTGAATGTTTATCACTTAAAAAACATCATTCTTGAGTATGCACACGAGGATCGAGCCACAGTTCTAGTGTATGGCCTCCATGCTTTCCAGAAACTTTAGCATCAATTAGTTAGTTTAGTTCAATTATTACGCACCCCATACCCATCTTGTGGGCGGTAGTGGAAAGGGTTACAGAGGCACATAATGGGCTCAGGGACTGAACCCTACAGTTCATTTAGCTATCAATGGCTCTAGATTATCATTTTAAATTGATTATAACTGAACTCTAAGTTTTCTGCATTAATTCAAAATGCAATGATATTAAAATTATGAAAGTATTGTTCTGATTTATTATTTTTAAGAAGCAAATAACTTTATCTTTCTTGTGCAGGGGAGGTGATGGGGGTTGTGAAGGCTGTGGTGCTGACGCAGGGGTTCCTCCTCCTGCTGCTGGTGCAGTTGCTGCTCTTGCCACCAGTCGCGTCTGCGGCTGACGTCACGCAGACTAGGCTGGACGACGGGGATCCTGAAATAGGTCTAGATACTGCTCTGTTTTGTTCAGTTTGATTCCTCTCCAGCTCGTATAGCCCATTCCCCTTCCCGTATGGAAGGGCTCGGGAGCTGATGTGAGCCTCAACCCGGCCACCGCACACTCTTATATTTACGCTCTCCCTGCCACAAAATACCTAAGTTTAATAATAATACAACCCACACGTGGAATAAAATTAAAGTGACGACGTTTCAGTCCATCACAGACTCTCATTAGGTCGTAACTCAGCAAAGGAGGGGGAGAGGGAGCCATACAAGGCAAGAGGAGAGGGGCGAGTGTATAAATAAAGTATTAAAACCTGTTAATGGCAGCTCCTTTTCGAGCTTATATTTCACATCATACGTGTAGATTGGATTATTTTTGTTTGAAACCATGTTATTGTGAGTTTAGCTCTTTACTCCCTTTCCTCCCGTTCTAGATCGTACTATCATCACTGATCTGATTGAAAAGAGGCTACGCGAATACCTAAGTCAATATGAAGGTCTGCACATCCCCGAGCTGCCCACGCTAGACATCGAAAACTCGGACATAATCAGGTAACCAGTGACCTGAGGATGATGGTAAGTACAGATTCTGTACTTATACAGTACAGAATTTACACTTACAGAACTTACACTTCTGTACAGAAGTACTGTACAGGTAGAATTCAACCTGTCCTCTTTCAAAGAACGTCGCTTTTCGATCGTGTGTGTTACAAAAGCCAAAAAATTGTCGTACTTGAAAATGGAAGCGGCTCGCGAAAGTGACGTACTGTCCCGTTTTCTGTTTTGGGTCTTCTGGTAGGTTTGGAGTGAACACTTTAAAATGACCTTTTTCTGGAAGTTAGAAATCTTTGGATGACGGACTGCAGGAATACCCAAGCCAATAATCTGTTCTCACACTTGGTTGCAACCCGTTCTCGCACTTTCGTATAGTCAATATTGACTTATTAAATACGTGCATATGTGACATACTAAACATACTAGTTTACCTTGAAAAGCTTCATAGAAAACACCGACCTTACCTAACCTTCTTAGTATGTTAAGATAAGAATCTTATTGCTTCGTAATTACAATTATTACTTAACCCATTATAGGTATAGGTTAAGTAATAATTGTAATTACGAAGCAATAAGATGCTTATCTTAACATACTAAGAAGGTTAGGTAAGGTCGGTGTTTTCTATGAAGCTTTTCAAGGTAAACTAGTATGTTTAGTATGTCACATACTCACGTATTTAATAAGTCAATAATGACTGTAAGAAAGTGCGAGAACGGGTTGCACACTTAATACATCTTATTTTTAACACTATTGGCCACAATGTCATAGGTTACAGTACTTTAGTGAAATGGAAGGCAATGCAATATTGACGCTTACTCGGACTAATGAGCATCAGTTTTGATAAATTAGGAAGGTTGCTTATTTTCGAACGATTTTAGTCTGGTAAAACCACTTACAATTTGACGCGTGTCAGATTTTGAGAAAGGGATGTTCACTGATTGTTCATATGACCAGAAGAGCAATTGAGGCGTGTGTAAATTAGTTGTCGGATGGTGTTTTAGGGGGAACATGGAATCTAATAACCTAAAGGGAACCAGTACCTGGTCAGAGACGCAAGTTCCAACACACACACACACAAAAGTTAAAGAAAACTATGTAGTCAATTTATACTGGGTAACGAAAAATAAATTTTGAGCAAATGAAGGACTTGGCGTTCAAAATAAATGCAAACAAATATTTTAGACTCGGTAGCTCTAAATGGCTAAAATAATTTAACTATTTGAGTATTACAGAATTATAGAATAGCTGTTGTTTATTGTTAGTCTTCATACTACACAGCTTATTGACTAGTCTCGTATGTCATTTATCTATGAGAAGCGAAACATGGATACAATGCAAGGATTTAAGGTATTTTATCATTGGTAATAAGATGGTTTGCCATGTCACGAAGCGTGAGTTTAGATTTCTCTTTTTAAAGTTTTTTTTTTAATCCAAGAACTAAAACTCTAGTGTGTCCCTGTTTTTGTCCACACTACACCTTCCTTCATCTATAGATAATAAAAGCCGTACTGCAAGAGATACTTGTAACTAAGTCATATTTGAGCTGTGATAATCTGTCAGTCAACTGATTGTGTAACTTGCCCCAACTTGTTCTTACGGCGAGAGACCTTTGTCTCACCTACGCCGAGGGCATGTGCTACCGGATGCTTCTGAACTTGCCACAAACAAATGTTTAATTTGACATATTTAATTGTGATGCACAATGGATTTGCTAGTCCCTGTTTGCACTATACTAGTGTTGGAAAATCCTCTCTACCATCAAAATGTTATTCATCTATAATAACTATTTCCCAGTGTCGCTATTAGCCTCAAGGACTTGGGATAAACCCTTGTAGGGAAATGCTAATGAATAACTTTTGTTTTCCTCCAGCATCGCCCTGAGCCTCAACGACCTGACCCTGACTGGAGTGAGCAATGTTAACGTGCTAAACTTTACCCACGAAGGCAATTCACACAATGGCAGCCAAACCCTCAGCATGGTCCTGCCTCAGATAAGTCTCACCGTTGGTGCATACATCTCCGCGGGCCACATCAACAATCTCCTGTTCAACGGAGAGGGTCCCATGAGGTAAGTGGAGTTCGTGAGGTGGAAAGGGCCCATATAATGAGTGGGTTCGTGAATAAGTGAATAGGCCTCATGGCGAACTAGACCCAGAGCCCTAGGGAAGATCAGAAGCTCTTATAGAGACTATCCGTTCAGGAGGCCTAGGAAACATTCCTTCAAGAGATTACACACAAAGATCACACGAACGTGATGCATCAAATGTTTGGGATGCTCCCGGACGCAGGTTCGAATCCTCGTCACGGCCCTTGTGGATTTGTTCATTCCTTCAAGAACCCTGAAGATTTAACAGGTTAAGAAAGGATATCTTACTCAAGTTTTTGATTGTGAGGGTGATGAATTCCACCACATATATTTTCCTTCCCTCCTCATTTTGTTGATTAGTGTTCCCAAAGGATAACCTCGGTACAAAGAATCTCTCAATTTTCACCTTCATCTCCAAATGGAATATAAACAATTATTTTAATTTTTTCCTCAGCCTCACGCTTTACGACCTGTCTTTGATCCTAACGTACGACTGGGATAAGCATACGATAACATATCTTCAGAGTTGTGTGAAGGACAACACCACCAATTTTGATCTGAATCTTCGTCGTATGCAGGTAAGAATATTTTCCTATGCACATAAGCAAGCATGCACTTAAAAGTTCATAAATACTGATTCATTGCATACTACCAAAATTACTGCTAATTATTATTATAGTTTTTAATACTCGGAAAATTACAGAGGCTCATATAACAGTAGTTACTTAATAGGTACAGTATTTATATATTTGATATAGCAACTAATTGCACCCAACATTTCCATCATATGTTACTAAAGTTGCTGATACTGGAAGATGATATATTAAATGAACCCAGTTAACTAAGGTGTTTACTGAACGATTGATTTAAGAGAATCGAATGGAATAGCATTTATGGTCATCTAAGGAATCTGAACAAAAATTTTCAATAGAACAAAATTGAGTCGGTTCGGGCTGGTACAGTATAATTTCTATACAATAATTACAAGCCAACGTAGTATGACCAGTACAAAATATTAAAAAAGTGTCCCCATCTTTGGTTCTGATGACATGAAGAACAACAAAGAGGAAAATACATACATAATGGCTTGGAGTTTATAACAAGATATAGCTAGCCATCTCCCTCCATCACGTAAATATGACCGACTTTTATTGGAATGTAATGTAAAGGAACTGGCTTCAGAAGCACGCTTGAATGACAGCTTTTGCAGCTTTATCGGGAAACTTAATAGTTTTGATATCGATAAGAATATAAATTTAATCAAATTCCTCTCGTTTACATTTGCTAAAAGCAAGGCACAACAAAAATTATTCTACCAAGTGATTCAGGATAATAAGATTCACTATTCGGTAAGGTACTTGTATCGCCTACAATACCAACTAACATTTAAGTAAAATCAACATTGTAAATGCATATAATATTACAAGAATCCTACACCATCAACGTATTTAAAAACATCAGTAAATATGTTAAGATAATAGAAATTTCGATGTTCCAGGACAAGATGCTTTAAAACGGCAGGAGAGTATAGGATTTGACATTTCATAAAGCTTTACAAAATATTACAATCGAGACTTTCTGCAATAGAATTTGTGTACAAGAGTATATTTCAAAAGATTGAGAGAATTTAAATAAATTCGATACCAGGACTAAAATAGTCGAAAGTACCAAAGCCAATGCTTTCAGAAGACTTGTAATTAGAATTTTAAGGGCTGTGGATGATATGTGAACCTGCCTTGGATTTTCAGATTTCACTCAAAACCTCAAATATCATGAAAAGGATAAAACTTTTGGCATTAGTATTAAGGCTTCGAGTTGGGGTAACGAGTTGGCAGTGGAGCCGACGAATAATAACAGCATTCATAATGTAATTTAGATATAACTAAAGATGATTTAAAGAGTAAACTGGTTCTTCTGTCTGTACCCAAGAAATATGACAACAAATAAAATGGGCAAAGGATTCTTATGCGGTTTTAGAAAGATATGGGTCTCTTGGGACAAATGAACATGGATCCAAAGCAATCATAGTTTCATATATAATTAATAAATAACTTTGGCACCAGAGGAAATGGTATTTATCAGGTCAAAGTGCTAAGTAAGTATTCCCTAGTTAGAATCCATTCCCAGATGAAGGGAAATGAGGGGTATAATAATTAAATTCCTGTTGTTGGGGACAGCAAGCCTTTACCTTGGTTTATCAAGGACCCTTTTAGGTCAACTATGCTGGCATTCTTCAGAATGCAACCCACAACACCTGTCTAAGTACTTGGTACCTATTAACTGATAAGTAAATAGAGGCATCAGGTGAAAGGAAACGTGCTCGACTATTTGCCCTGCCCGGGAACTGAAACTGGATCCCACCGTTGTGAGTTAAGGATATAGACCATTGTACTTTGTGTGGGTCACCATATACGATTAAAACAAGGGTGACAAACGAGTCCAAGTTGTCGTCTCGCTTCTTACCTTGGGTCAAAATTGCACATTTTCAAGCCACACTCAAATGATCTTTGAATCATTGGAGCACTCTGACCCCGAGGAAAAATATCATGCCTAACTGTACACGCCACAAAAATCTTACATGTGTTTTGTGTGTTCATGTTTGTAAGTGCACTGTATAAACACCATATATACCACCCCAGTATGTACATCTGTAGTATTACAATTGTTTATGCAAATAACAATGCATGCCTACACAGTATGTGTTTGGGATCATAATAGTTTTAATATAATTACAGTAATAATAAACTTGTTTGTATTATGATTAATTATTTGAACTTTTATTTTGAGGTAAATTTTGACAATCTGGGTCACTGAACATTAAATTGTGACATTAAATTCCTCACCATACAGGTACATTTTGAAAACCTAAATGCTGGGACCGATCAAGGCCAACTGATTGACATTGTGTTTTCTTCCTTCGGGCCCGATATCGTGGAACACCTGGAGAACTTGCTCAACAACTCTTGGTACGACGTTCTGGATGACGCCATCGTTAACCTTATCAACAACGCTACCAAATGCCCTGAACTTGAAGAAACGCCTCCCATAGAAGAGGCTATTTCAAATTTTGCTCTGGTTGTGGAAGATCTTCTGACATCATTCTTTGACATTAAAAAAGCTTATTCAGTGGAATGAGAAGGTCAGTTACATGAAAATAAGAGGCAACACTGGAAATACTGTGGTAGGTGCATTTGTCATCTATTTGATGTTAAGTGTAACAAGCTAATGCTCAAGTATTGCTGGCAAGAACAGTTTTGGTGTGTGTGTGTTGCCTCTGGTACTTTATACAGTTCCAACTTCTGTCCAACTTAGATTACTGCCAATCTGGGTGGTCCTGGTTACCCTTCCCTTTACTGCATAAAAATAACTGGCAATTTTTTTAATTAGAACATTATTAATGTCATAGTACAGTATAAGTAATTATCAAAAGGTACCAAGCTGGGGGTGTGTGTAAATGACATGCACAAGCAATTGGAATGTACTTCAAAAATCCCTCAAAAAATTATTTCCCCAAGGTTGGGTGATGGTTAATTGATATAGCGAGTTTAAACACAAAGGCAAAATGTGTGCAAATTGGGCCTACATGTATTTTGACAAAGTGCTGTACAGTCTTCAGTTACAAGAATTAGACTTATCTTGATTTTTAGAACAGATTAAATAAGTTCTGATGTTTACCATTTTTGCTATAAAATACTTTGTAACCAAATCATGCTTCTGATTTGGCTCCACTTTTATTACAAGTCTTCTGAAATAAAATCTTCATTTCATGAAATAAACACTTACAAATGATATTAAAACTCCTTTAAAGATTTCAGTGATCATATTTTATATCAAATAATATACCTTCAGATAAAAGGTCTTTGCCGACAGGATGTTTGCTCAGTACTGCAGGATAAATAAGGTTTCACAACACGCTAAGGTGTTAACCCATAACCTCATTACCTAATTATATTCAATTAATCAGATCCAGATTCAATAAGCAGGAACCCTGTAACATTCCACAATGTTTTTTTTTAATAAACCAGAAATTGTATATACGTAAGTACAGTATATACTATATATATATATATATATATACTGTATATCAATACAGTACATAATATTTATTACAAAAGTTAAGACAACATTTCCTAAATGTTAATGTTTATATGTAACATTAGTTTCTTAGCTAAGAAGTTCTTGATAAACCTGGTCATTTGACATTATCCCACACAAGTTTCTTGGGTAAAACTCATGACCATTAGTGTTTTACGATGAAAATTGATATAATTATTACACTGAAATAGTAATTTTAATCTGTAGGTAGCTTAGAAAAAAATTAAACTATTAATATTCCCTAAATATAACATTAGTAACATACTGTAGTACTGTCAAACAATGGTAGCTGTAAACTGCTGACATACATAAATAACCAAACTGTATTAAAAACCATTTAATTATTTACCCCAATTGTTTCTCACGTGAACAATTTGATGATTGCTGTCAAGTCCCCATTTCCGAACCTGAATTTCTCTGCTACGTGTCCGAGCAAACAAGGCAATCCACAAAAATTCGTTACCAACCCTCCAAACTTTGCTAAAACACACGCCTTACTCTCCTGGCTGGTCACCCCAAGATGCTACAAGACAGACCAGCTCATCCTCCTGTTTAGGTAGTACTCGCAGTAACAACGAGGACGTATATTAATTAACGTAAAAGGCAATTATGAAACGGAAGTGGGGCATTATTGAATTTGGACAAACTGGGAAAGTTCTTGTATAGATGTTGCAAAGAAAACTTTACCTAACCTTTATAGGCCTAGTACATGCTATCCAAGACCTAATATAGTATATACCCTGTATATATTATGTTAGGTCTAGGAATATTTAAGTTTGGTTTTAGCTTTTCTTCACTCTTGTAAAGTGAAAAGTACCAAATTCTACTAATTGTCTATTACGTCTCGGTATGATAGATGGTCCAGTTACAAAATGTATTATTTAGAGCAGCTTCTCAGAATTGCATGAATTAAACATATTGAACAATGCCTATTTATAATGACCCCAGTGAAGACCTTTGATTGTTATGCTAAGTGATAAAACAATGAACGTGTTCATTGTAGTGTTCTGGTAATGCAATGTGGGAGTGGTGCACACACAGGAACAAGAGATATATAAAAATTTGACAGTATGACTGCTCATGGAGAAAACAATTTTCGTACAAAAATAAATGAGCAGCGTTTGTAAAGCAAAGATGTGGATAAGGCACAAAGTCGCAATGGAATTAAAACTTAAAAAATGCGTAGGTTGAAGTTGGCAGATGAAATATAAGATTTTCTGCTTAATTCATCTTTGTCAAATTCCTTGAGTCCATTGCAACATCTTATTAGTCTAAACAATAATAGAAATTATTTCAAGACTGTACATGAGCAACATTAAAGTAATTATCTAAATAAGGTACTAAGCTAGGATAGCTATATAGAATAAACACTTTCTTGGCAAGTATCCTAACTTTATATATTATTGTACTATGTCTTTTCATTTTTAATGTACTTTATTATGAGAGAGTTGGATGTTTAGACCACCTGATCGACCAATACACCTTGGTCAAATCCTATCAGTTCTGAGGCAGTTGGTTGGTGGGGTTGGTCCCACCACCAACTGTACCTTCATTTATGTGCTTCCAACATTGATCTTGATTACAAACCCAGAATATTAAGCGCATTGCGTATGCCACGAAGAGCCAACCAGGCACTAAATACAATAGAGCAGGTAAATTACATTATTAGGTTGCCAAATAATTATTACAGTATTGCAAATAAGCATGACATCGAATAAGTAATTATCAAAAGAAAAAGCATGACATCAAGTTAGTCCATAGCTTTCAAAGTTGAAACACACAAGCAATTCTTGTGTGGTACTATTTGCCTGAAAGTGAAAGTGGAACTAAAGTAAATATTCCTGCTCATACAGGCATACAAGCACACACTTCAAAATATCCCAAAACAGGATTGGATCAAGTATGTATTTAAACTTTGCACCATAATACAAGGAAGCAATTGTAAACAAAGCAATACAAAAAACAAATTATGGGAAGACTATGTAGCACCATCTGTCACTAGATATTTAAACGGTAAAATACCATTCAGAATGTCAATACGAGAACATGGGCCTTCCTTCCCCTTAGGGAGAAAAACCAATATTACATTTCTGACCAGGTGACAGAGGTGCAGCAGTTTCAAGGTACAATACTGTGCAACAAACTCCGCCTCAGGGGGAAGTGAGAATGAGAGCTCTCGAGAAGAGGATGAACAGGAGAGTTGATATAGGCCCGAACGGTCAAAGGGATAAAATGTGGGGTTGAGGAGTGTGACAAACACACAAGTCATATCTAAAAAGGAGGAAAGGATTCGGACCTGGCATCTAGCCTCGGGAAAAGACCTACAATCTCAAAGTTTCAGATTGAGGATGGCTTGTTCAAATTTATAGTGCATACAAAATTCAGAAAGGCAGGGTAGGCATCACTCCATTGATGCAGTGAGCAATAATTTGACCTAGAATGACTGGGGTCACAACGAAACACTTCGCTACTATAATTTGGGTTCGATGCCCATATTTCCAGCACCTATTAGAGGGGCATCAAGAGATGTATTCCTGAACTTTTCATCTAATACCAGCAAGAATTAAGGACAGAAGCTATCAATAGTTATCTTAACTGACTGACAAGGACAACCTTGAGGGGGTCGAGTGATTGTATCAACCTGGAGGATAGAATAACCTTGGGTTTAAGGATGTATTTAATGTCTTCATGCTGTGACTGAGGAGAAGTTCCTTGTTCCATCACAGTATGGGGGCAGGAGGACGAGTGTCAATGCTGTCGTTTAATTAAATATATTTGACACACAATTAGGGTCTCAATGCAGGACAGGTTATCTTGAGATGATTTCGGGTCTTTTTTTAGTGTCCCCGCGGCCCGGTCCTCGACCAGGCCTCCACCCCCAGGAAGCAGCCCGTGACAGCTGACTAACACCCCAGGTACCTATTTTACTGCTAGGTAACAGGGGCATAGGGTGAAAGAAACTCTGCCCATTGTTTCTCGCCGGCGCCTGGGATCGAACCCAGGACCACAAGTCCAGCGTGCTGTCCGCTCGGCTCCCATTAGAGGACAGGGCAGTTAGGTTGTCACCTGCCTGCTTGGAAAGAACCTCAATGATGTGAGTGAGAGTCTGAGCAAGATTGAAAGTAATGTGTATTATCAGAGTCAACACGGTTTTTATGTACTTTTAATCATCAGGGCAGGAAAATTCTTTGTGGAAGAAATACTTGGGCAAAGTACTGTAGGGGGAAAAATAGATCACAGTATGCTGCAGAGGGTGAAGGAAACATGCATGTTTCATTGCAAGTTACTCTAGACGATGACTTAGTCACCATTGGGAATTTGGGTCATCCCTACCAAGGAAGTACCTGGGAAATGAAAAGGATCACCAGGGTGAACCTAAAACAAAGCCAGTATGAGCCCAATGAAATCAAAACAACAGACCGCAATCTTCCATCACAGTCTGACTCGAAGGGATTATGAGCCAGAGTTTGAGAAGCGAGTTTGTCTATCGAGTGCATTCAGTTTATTAAAGTTTGGACTTTAAAATGGATACCACCTACCAGGGCAGTGAGGAAGGTTGACCACTAGCACGTGAATAGAAGGGTGCTTCGTCTCAAGTGGTGCTCCCAATGCAAAGGCCCCCACTTTCCTTCACACCTCTAGCCGAGACACCCAAACCTACCTCTAGAAGCAGTCCCCCCTCAAGGGCCACTCCTCCAACAGGTACCTTACACGATTTCTTTATATGTACAACACCCAGGTGGAGGCAGATGGGGTGGAGGCAACCACCACCAATCCCAGGGCATCATATAAGAGCATCCTCATCACAAAGTAAAACCCCTTCAGGTACTCAAAGCAGAAACATGAAACTGTTTGAAAAAATATTCCCTCGGTGAAAGTACCTAAAATCTAAACCCATTTCTTTTTCCAGATATGAAGTTCTTGTATTCACACACTGCACGTCACAGGTTATAAGGGGTTAAAAAAACAATGTCAAAATTACCAACAGTTATTACTCCAAGACGAGCAATATAATATACCCATTTAACAACTGATAACAATTAAAAGTACATATGAGAGGGTATACTGATATCCATTTCTGGATATTAAGTCAGGACAATGCATTTGAACAAAAATAATTTATACACGAGAATATAATTTAAGAACAAATTAAATACATCAATATTTAACTATTGTGCTTTTACATAAAAAAAAAGGCTTGTCAGTGGAAACTTTCATAATGTTTTTCTAAAATACATAATTTACTATGAGCATATGGTAAAAACATGTAACTTAAATTAACAGGCTGTGTTAAATAAACGAATTCCTACTTAACCAATTCTAAACAAAATACTGTAATGCCAAATTCATGTAAAAATAATGAACGATATTAATACTCAATTTGTTGAGCATGTACAAAAAATATACGTATATATACAGTACATTTTATAATTATATATATATATATATATTATATATATATATATATATATATATATATATATATATATAGCCAGAACGCACTTCTAGCCTATATGCAAGGCCCGATATGCCTAATACCAAGTTTTCATGAATAATATATTTACTCTAAATTTTTACTTATGAATATAAAGCTACCCATTTCATATGTATAGGTAATTTATTTTATTTGATTAAAATAACGTAGATATATACCGAACCTAACCAACCCTACCTAACCTACATAACCTATCTTTATAGGTAGGTTATAGGTACCGAAAAATTATATAGGTAATCGAAAAACAATATTCATGAAAACTTGGCTTATTAGGCAAATCGGGCCTTGCATAGTATAGAAGTGCGTTCTGGCTACTAGGTACACATATATATATATATATATATATATATATATATATATATATATATATATATATATATATATATATATATATATATATATATATATATATATATATATATATATATATATATATATATATATATATATATATATAACTAAACCCCAAAAATAATTCTAATTTCAATGAATTCTAGTCATAAAAGAGCTTTGAAAGTTTGTGTTTTATCAATGCATTTATGCTAACTTAAATGATGGGGCCTTTTAAACAGGAGGCTTCCTGACGATGAGCTGGATAACTTAAATCCTCTTTAGTCCACTTCTTGGTAATGATGCGAGACATTAAACAGTTACAAGATGCTCACCACAGTGCATGCGAGTTCTTCACACAGCTTGTGGAATCATCATGGACATACCAAGATACTGCAAAGAGTAAACTACCATAAGTTCATCATTAGCAATTCTATTTAAAACAACCATTCATCAAGTTTTAAAGGTCTCGAGAATGCATCTTTTTAGGGGTTAAAGAACACGTCTAGTTTCATAAACCCTGTTAAACACCACAAGTGAATTGTTGAGGCAAACACTGAAAATAGGTGTTTAATCATTATTTCTTACTGGTGCACTATGTGCCCTCACTTATTTTCCCATTAGTTTTCAAACATCCCCGGAACACAGACCGAGTAACTAATTTTTTAATAATTAGGGCTCCACAATATTTAGTATCAGTTCAATCAAACTAACAAAGTCAAGAGTACAATCCTATAATCGGCAATAGCATGGGGTAATATTTTAGTCACTTTCAATCCATAACCTGGTTGGTAGGACAATGGTCTCCTACTTTTGAGGCCACAGTTAGTCTTGATGAGCCAAGGGTATGAAAAAACAATATCCTACATATTTTCAAACAAATTAGTACAAAATATTAAACTTCTCTGAATGTTAAGGCATAACTGCTCCTGCTCGCCTCACAATGTGCTATTAGGTGTTACTTTTAGTCATTATGTAGGTTTAAAAGCCACAGTAGATAAATGACTTTGGGGAAACCTTAAATCATTCCACTTTAGCAATATAATGCAATAATTATTAAAGTCATTATGATTATACAGTATACGTATTACAAGTCGCACACGATTTCGAAGTCCCTATAGAGTATATCACTCAGAATGCCTATACTGGAGTAGAAATGCACAAAGTTGGTTTACGCTGAAGGAGTAACAATTGTCGAGGATTCTACACACATCTCGTGTAAAGGGAAAGTTGTGAAACAGTTTCCCCCATCATCCTGAAAACCAAAACAATTAACTAGATGGACGACCGAGCTAAAAAAAAAATTTTCTGCAGACTTCCATGCTATTAACTTTTCACAGATAAGGGGCTGATTGGGCAGATACAGATGATATCAGAAAGCCAATACTTTTTCCTAGTTAGGAAATGTGGGGAAACTTGCTTATTACAATTAAATGAGGAAGGCCAAGAGGATAGATTACTTTGATGGCATGTGATTTATTATTGCTAGTAGCCAGTCATCTATACTTTCAATGATTGCAGATACCATTATAGATTTTACTTTGGTAATCTGAAAAGGGATGGGTTTGTGGGACACGTGACAATCAAATGACTGGCTTAGCTGCAGCAACTACTAGATTGAAGTATACAAAACACTAAAGGGGAAAAGACAGAGCTCACAGTGTCCCACATCAAGGTAAACATGACGAGAGCGTGAGAGATGGAAGTACAAACGAGTTGAGAGCTCGGTACTCGTATGCACTAAGGGTGCAAAGAAAGATGGAATTATCCGACATATGACAGTGGAAGCCACCTTCATTCACAACTTTAAGACTAGGTAAAATAAGGTATGTATTTGAAAAATCCTGTGAATTTGTTGCACCAGGAAGAGGGAGGCCATGAGAGATATCTCATACTAAAAAAGTTAATCAGCTATTCAGAATGAATTATTACTATATTTAGCAGCATTAATGAGATTAAACTGGGATCACTAATTTATTTATAATGGCCTCTGCAATGCTTTACTAGGGTTTCTTTGCATTGCAGTGAGATATGGCATAAACACTTTTGACCAGCATCCCCTGGAACCCCTTAATCCTAAAAAATATTTATGTAGTTCAAGAAATATCGACACTTCCACACACATACTTTTGTACTTAAAGAGTTCAAAACTGATGGAAACAGAATAATTGGGACTTGATTATTATAATGAACTAGTCAAACCTTATATAACTTGAATACTCAATAAAGACTCACTTTAAATTTACCTGCTTCATTTACTTCATTAAATTAATCTTGGGACCCATCATGCTTGTCATTATCTACAGAGGTACGGAGTTGAATAGAAAAGAAACAGACTCCCCATTGTGGGTTCTGCGAATAGCCTCGGCCAAAATGTTGGAGACGTCAATCAACTGAAAAGCAAGAACAGGAGAAGTTTCAATATTAATACAAAAAGTCAGGCCATAAGAGTGTACACCAACTATAAACATAGGAACTGTTAAGATGGTATATAAACTAGTGGACTTCAAGAGAGGTCACACACATCAATTACATGCATTAAAATATTTTATCTCAGATTCATCGCGGTCTTGTCATTTCGTTGTGCACTGACATGAACAAGAGATGGAGAACATCATTACTGACACCAATGTGAGCAAGTATTTCATAAAACTTTGATTATAATGGTGTCTACCAAAATCTACACAAGTCAAGTAGCATCTCTGCTTGAAATGCTTCCAACAGAGTCCAGTCAGTAGTGCACGTGTCCGTGGATTCCAATATATGGCGTTCAATTCCATCATATGGCCTCCATATTTTCAAATATTAATCACATTCTTGTGATTTCAATGTGCATACAAAGCTCGTCTTGTTTTTATGCTTTAACGCAGGAATGTTCAATGCAATTCTTAGTGTTTGGGAACCAGCAACAATGCACAAACTAATAATCGGCACAAGATTGCACAAAGCCATCTATTTTGTATACTGATTATCTCCATGCCCCAAGTGATAATTCAAAACTACAGTACATTAAAATTATTTCATGAAGAAATTTGCATGATAAATATATTTTAAAACTACCGTAGCTAATTTCTGCTTACACTCAATTGAGCAATGTCCCCTATATCAGGCATATTTTACAATACAAACAATAGTATTGTATAGAATACTCATGAAGTAGCCAATCAGCAGGAAAGCCCTGCTCCAGTATGGACAGCGCAAGAAATAACAAGTAAACAATGGGCCAACAAAAAAATTCTACCATTGGACAACACAAAAATTGAAAATTCTACCTGTTCATCCATCCAAATTATGTCATTAGGGAAAGTTTCTAATCTTAAAAGTAAGCCTTTTTCCACGTTACAAATTACCATACATGCATTTCGAAGGAGAGCTTCCCAAAAAATTAATGACGTTACCAGTTACAATAATAAAGTGTAGTCCTTTAACAATAATAGCTTCATTTGTATAAGAATAAGATCAGCCAATTTTAAGCAATAATTATTTTCATTTACATATAAAAAGCTTAATTTGACTTTTGTCCTGATTATACAAATTTGGTACAAAATGAAAATTGAAGTCATCTCTGAAAACTTAAATTTCTAAGAGGATATTTACATGATCATTAAAAAATAGATTTTTTTTTAAGTTTTAGCTACGCATATTAAAACTTACCTGAATTTTATTAGAATCTTTCATGTGTTGCTCTTGAGGTATAGTATTAGTAACAACAACTGCTTCGAAGCAAGCATTATTTATACGAGACACGGCGGGTCCAGAGAAGATACCGTGCGTTAGGATGGCATATGTTTTGGTTGCACCAGCTTCCATCAGTCTAAAAATAAAAAAAAACTTTGAAAACCTAAAAACCTGAAATGGATTGCTCAAATTCACATGCTCTTTCTATTATAATAGCCACCAAATTCGATGGTGTAAGTCGAATGTAAGTAAGTGGAATGAGTCGATGGTGTAATGACTGGTTGATATTAAATGGAGGTGCTCACCAGGGTTACACTACCTCAACTTGGTGGTTTAATATGAATGAGTTATGGCAAGATGATTTAAGAAACCGAACATGCAAATTTAGTGTACACGTCTAATATGATAAATTACGAGTTTGTACAATTGAATATATGCAAGTGGTAATTTTTTTTTGCAGAGTAATTAATGTAAGTTAGTTAAAAATGTGAGATACTGTATTAGCCTTAAAAATTAATGTGGACAAAAGTAAATTTATGTTAGCAACAAGAGAAGGAAATCCAGTGTGTGAAATAGATGTGAATGATATGCAGGCGACGAGTCACAATAACGTGGCTAAAGTATGTTGACCAGACCACACACTAGAAGGTGAGGGGACGATGATGTTTCAGTCCATCATGGAACATTCTCAAGCCAATTGACTTGAGAATGGTCCAGGATGGACCGAAACGCCGTCGTCCTTTCACCTTCTAGTTTGTGGTCTAGTCAATGTGACTGATAAATTGTACAGAAGTGTGTGACCAGCTTAAAACTTGAGCCTAAATCAAGTGAAAAGTCAATAAGTGAAGTAGTAGAAAAAGACAATCTAAGGCGCAGACAATCTGACAAGTATGTGTGGTGTTAAAACACATGAAGGCATGAAAATGTCATGCAGAAATATTAAGTGCAAGTCAATAAATCACAAAGACCGAGGAGAGCATACCAAAACTGTTTGGGCAAACTGAATGAAGGACAATAAGAAGCTGACGAGTATATTCAGATGGAGGTTACTGTGAGAGGGATGGGAATTGTGTTTAATAAGACACTATGTAGTATTGCATGTAGCAATGTAAATGGTCAAGACTTGTTTTAAAATACCCCATAAAATAACAGCAATAATAAAAATAATGCCATGTCTTATTTCCCAAAGCCGACTCAGTTTCACGACACCAATACATACTTCTCTGCAGCATGACAGATAGTCCCACATGTGTCAGCCATGTCATCCACCAGAATGGCAATGCGATCCTTTACATCTCCAACTAGAACCATTGATGCTACTTCATTGGCTTTCTTTCGTTCTTTGTGGATTAAGGCAAATTCTATATTGAGACGGTCAGCTATAGATGTCACTCTAAAGAGGAAAAAATAACATGTATTTTACCTACATTAAAGTTTTCAGGAAGCAAAAGCAATTATAAAAATCTTTCCTATATACTTCACACAACACCACTCTTTTCACTAAAATTTTACAAAATGCATAAAGTAAGGTATATCATTCAGCAAAATCAAACTACACTAAAATTCAAATGATTTCTAACTGCAACCTTAATACTTTAAAACTATGCTACTCAGACATGTTAAAATTCATTCAAGCAAGTTGTTTATGAGCAGAAAAAAGTCAGTAAATTATCATAATTAATCTTAGATACTGTACTTTAATTATCAACTGCAAATAATTCAGAGATATACACACAAACACACATGTAAGAGTAAGGTCAAAAATATTTTCTTCACAGATTGCAAGAAGTCAATGCGAACAAGTGTCGAGTAATTAGCATCAGAAGGCACCAAGACGGAAAGACTCGTCAGTACCATCCACGTTGTGGGATATTCAAAGGTCCTAAATATCACTAAGGATAGCCAGTACTAGAATATAAAGCTGGATCATAATCCATCCCAACATTACAGTTATCCTCCGACTTGTACCCTGCCCAATACCCATTTATTTCCTCAACTATTGTAATGATGTATTACTTCAGTTTGCAATTTAAACCAAAACATTTCCAGTCCCTACAGTTTGTATCAACTGCACAGTAATCAGTTTATAATTACCATACCCATCCTGAGGGACCAGCAGATTGCTAGAGAACAACATACTGGGCTCAGGAACTGGCTATGAAGTATGCACACACCTTTCTATGCCCTGAAGAGTTAAAGTATACGAACAATTACAGCACTATCTATACCTTTTGCAGCCTTTAAATAATTACATGATATGTAATAATCATATTTTTAATTTTATTTACATCTTACTTTTGAATACATGGTTAAGCTTACCCGATCTTTTATATTGGCATTACCAACTGCCCAAAATAAACAGTCACTTGCCTCATCCAACTTTAAATTGTTGGCCTAGTCAAAAGTGATTCAGTACATGTTAACTTGCTGAATATTACTTTAAATCTCTTAAAAGTATTTTTAAATGGTGCTCCAATACTTGCTGTATTTTTGCTTTTCTATACAAATGCAATTCTCTTTACCTTTATTGAAATCTATCATCATCTATTGAGTAATCTTATACAGGCCCATCATAGATAATATAGTGGGAAAACTATTAAAAACAGTCATTATCTGCTCTCTGTATGGATATTACAATGGGTTACATGGTGGTCTTATTCTTCCAAGTGCTTTATCAGAATATGCCCCTCACTTCAGCCACCAATGTGCATTCATTGTATGCATTTATGGGGGTGATCCACTATTGGTTTAATTTGGTGCAAGTATTAAAGTACCTCATATACTTTAACTTGGAAAATTACTACACATATCTAATTTATTGACTACCATGAGTCAATGTGTTGCCAAAGGCTTTGAGCCGTGCCCAAAATAGACAGGAGTAAAAATTTTGTTCTGTACTACATTTACTAGACCAACCAGAAAAATACAAAAATTTAAATTGAGAACAAAACAGCCCATAATTTTGGCCATTGTCCCACCAGCAATGAGGTGTTTGTATAATAATACAACCTGTATTTACTTCAACCTCACCAAGAGATTTCACCACCACCATCACCCACCCCATTTCCTACAAAGATAGTAATAAGCAGGCATTAGTCCAGAAGGAGATCAATAACTTTCAGAAAAAGGAGATTGAAAGTAATCAAGATGCACTCCATTCATTACCTTGCCCAGGTAAAAAGGGGATGATACATTAGAGATTATCCCTCCCCTCTGTAACACACGTGACTTAAGTACTATACGTCAGGCACACCGATGACACGTTATATATCACACGAGAGGACTATGAGGCGTTACAGCTGGTGAACATTCAACACAATCATACATACTTACAGTAAGTACTTTCATGGCTCTCTTATCCCTAGCGAACATTATCAATAGTCCCTATTTTGTTTAGCTTATAAGCTTGCCAACATAACTCAAGAGATTAAGTAATACCTTAACCGGCTCATCCATCATCGATATTTACCTTTTCGCTCCCCCTGCATCAGGCGAGACAATAATCGCATTTCCCCACTCGGGAATATTTTCACGGATCCACTTGAGGACTGCAGGTTCAGCATAAAGGTTGTCAACAGGAATGTCAAAAAATCCTTGGATCTGAGAGGCATGTAGGTCCATTGTAATGATGTGGTCTGCCCCAGCTACAGAAAGCATGTTGGCTACCAGCTTGGCAGATATAGGAGCACGGGACTGTCAAGACGGAAGGAAAATTAATTTCTACTAGCAAGCTTCACGAAAATAAAGCAAATAAAAAGCTTAAATGTTCTTTACATGTTTTAATTTATATGCTAGAGATATGCATGGGAAGTTTTGTGCAACATGCAAGATCAAATCTTCAAAATAAAAAGCTTACGTTATGTTAAGGCAATGCAATATGTAGGAGGCATGGTCATGAGAATGTATCTATACTGGCATGTGTTACAGTAAGTGCTGGAAGATATGACTAATTATATTCAAACAAAGGACAGACAGCCTACAATATAATGGCAGTTTGTGTGATGAAACATGCATCAAAAGAGGAATGTGTTGCACATAAGGAATTTTTGGGCAAGCATTAACTACATTTATTGAAGCCAATAAACTACCTCTGATACATACGGAAGTAGATTACTGCATTAATATAAGGGGGGAGCAGGAGTAAGTTCAAGCTTGTTTACAAAAGTTAGCATCATGTTCCATGCTTTGAGCATAAGCATAATGCTTACATTTCTGATCATTAACTGCACCAACAACAAACCAAGAGAGCTAAGTGAGAAATTTAACAAATATAAAGAAATGAGGGATTTAGAGAATATGTCAGTATTTTGCAAAGGATACTTAAAGAATTCCAGAAAGAAAAATTGAAACTGCAAGTTTAGAAAACTACCTAACAGCATAATAGGCATTAACTGATTTTCCCTTTGCTTGAAAATAAAAATATATAAATATCAATATTATGACAATAAAATAGTCAACGACTATCAATGTTTGACAACACATTTTATCCAGTGGCATCATAACCCGACTTTTCACAAACGATTGAAAAAATAATAATGTGCAAATGTCTGATCAGTTATTGATACAATAAGGTTTAAACCAAACAATTATGACCCTAGAAATCTTCATATATAATCCACCATTTATTTGATAAAAATATTTAGCAAAAATGGCAAGCCACACCTAAGACCAATGAAAACTGGAGTAGCGGTGTCATGAGCCATAGAAAAAAAAAAATAGAACCACAGTATTATAATCTAGCTTTGAACCACAGAGCAACAATTCACCCCCCCCCCTTTTAAGAATGATAGATACAACAAAGAAAAATACTAACATTATCTATATTTAAAAATGTTCCCTGTCAAATAGATTTACAATCTTAGGAAAAATGTGGGCAAAAGTCACTGAAAATACAGTATAAAAGTGAAAAGCCAAGAGAGACGGAACATTTAGAGGAGATTCTTCACTACCGTAGTTTATTGGGAAATTATATAGAAGATATGAATTAATCAATGGATTGCAGCACAATTTCTAATATGAATAAAGTTTGCAATACTAAAAAGGCAACACAGTACTAAACACTGTACTGAAAATGCAGCACAGTACTGAATGCTGTACTATTTCGGATATACCAAAATAAACGAGTGCAAAACTAAAACTAAACTAGAAATAGAATACTAGTCAAAATAATTTTAAAAATCTTTTTCCTAAGCACTAAATTATGTAATGGTTTAATATTTGAACATTTTGTTAAATTTAAATTTCACTCTAGTATAACAATGTTAATTTAGATTCTAAAGGGACAAAATGAAGTTTTTTGTTTTTTAACTTCTGTAACATAATAATTGGAGTCTATCAATTTTACTATGTCTTTATTACTACACAATCTTCCAATATTAAGCTGTCAACTCTAAGTGTAAAAGAGAAGATAACTTTCTATTTACATAATACTTTCTTTATGGCAATCACCTCAGTGGGCACATGTGACATCACAGAAACTGTCCCTTAAAGCAAGAGAATACCCACTAAAGCACCAAGCTCTGCAACCGGAGCAGCGGTTTCTACTTCACCTCGAAGTCGCATCCAATTCCGTCCAAGTTTTTCCGGTATTTCACAACGCTAGATGATGAGCATTTAAATAACCTTGAGTCATATATAATTAACCGACAAAGTACTTAACCACTTAACCATGTTCATATTATGCCAAGAATTTACCTGTCATTAAGTTCAGAAATTACCAATCCCAATACTGCATTTTAATAACTAAAAATTAGACAAACAACATTTACATGGATCCCAGTAGCAAAAACATTTTCTCTACTTCAAAAGGATACCGTTTGCTAATTCATAAAGTACAGTACTATAAAGTAGGCTTCACTTAACACCAACTGCCTTAAATTTTACAATAGCAATGCAGTCTGCAAAAACTATTAATTAAAATTATATATAATTCAAATCATTCCCAAAGACCAGTATATTTTAATAATTCCCATGGTTGGGGACAGGATCCCTATTTTTTCTATTATACCCTTCCTAATACACAACTATGAGCATATAAGGCAAAGTATACTCTCCAGTACAGCATTTTTGTAATTACATTTTCAAATTTCTCAACAATGCTAATTATCTTGTCACTTTCAAATTACTCCCATAAACTATATTAAAGTTTATCAGAAGCGAGAAATTTCTGAAAATTAAACGTGGAAAAATTATTTTATGAATAAATACCCACTTACAAATTATAATACTTGTCATAAATCATTATTCCAATTCTCACTTCTATAGTATGGGAAGGCATCAGCCCAGAGAAGATGTATGCCTACTTGCAAGCCTACCAGCCGATCTACTTGCCCAAGTGTTTATGTAGCATGGTTCTCGTTATGCAATCAAAAACAAAGTGAGCATGGCAAGTTATTTTATGAAACAATGCAAACAAATCAGACCATCCAAATGGCATCCCACCTTGGCACCATCTTTAACCAAGTCTCTCAAAAGTCATGAGGCTTGGAGGCACTGCCAGAAAAGGACAAGCAAATATTTTAGATCTAGAAAAACAAAAAATAGTCTGGATATTCCAAACAACCACAACCATCACACTACCTACTACAGAGACAATCTTCCAATATGAATAAATGCTTAAAATCATGCCAAATAATTTTTTAAGTAACTTTGTACCAATCTCATTGGTACAACTGCCTAAGTAGCTGCTACATCACTTAATTAAGGACGAATCGTGTCCACCATGTTCCACTACATTCTCTCTGGACGCACCACGTCCCTCATACACGAACCGCAAAATATGGAGATAGCGACACTCGTCGCACGACGTCAAAATATGGTGCTCTGCCAAGTTGCCCACAGAATTCTCTTTAGACTGCCACTACTCTGCTTCTCTAAATCTTGACTTGCGTGAGAAAGGTCATGGGACAGGTGCCAATCAGGTACACCTGCCCACACAATCCTCTTCTATGATTCTTGGATTCCATGATTCCTCAGGGCACGACCACCCAACTGGCTTCAGGTTACCCCATACTCGTTACCACTTAAAGAAATACGTCACCATATCACCCTCCCACAGCTTCCTCACGCTTTACTCACGAAGCTCCTCTCAAATTCTTCTCCATAAGCCATAAATATTTTTCTTTCTCTGTAGCGACGACGTGCGTTCTTCTCTTCAGACTTCCTCACAACAAGTGACAAAGACCTTTGCACACGACATGCTCCCACAATGGCATTTTTTGCACACTGCACGTCGCATACAGATGACCTCTCACTTCCAAGTTTTATCAAAGATGCTCATCTGCAACTTATCTCCCTCCTTGGTCACATTTAATGATGGTTGCTTGCACTATTTAATTTTCCCCAACTTCACTATGGTCAGGTGGGGAATAACTGTTGGGGCAGACCTACATCAAGAGGCAACATGGGGGTTTATAACAACATACTACAACACTCCCATTACTAACCTTATCCTTCTTGTCCTGTCTGGCATATGGAAAACATGGAATGACAGCAGTAACTCTAGCAGCAGAAGCAATCTTGCAAGCATTGATCATAATGAGCATTTCCATCAAGTTATCATTAATCTCTCCACAGCCACTCTGAACGATGTAAACATCCTCGCCTCTCACGCTCTCTCCAATCTCCACACTGTTGAAGATAAATTACTATTACACACTGCAACTGTTAGCAACTGATTTTACACACTGCCAGTGAAGATCTGTTTTCTTGAAGATTAATCTGAAAATGTAATGACACCAGTTGCAAATGTGTACAAGTTAAATTTACATTATGGCCATGGATATGAGCATAATTTAAAAACTGCATGAAAACTCCGGCTGGCAACTGGTAAGGCAACATACTGTCTAGTTTGTGCCAAATTTAATCTGAATTCCAAGATAAAGTTAAAGTCTCAAGTATGAAATAATAAAACTTCCTTGTTTATAAAGGAAACATTACACATTGAAACTATCTACAGTATTAAACCGTTTTCTTTTAGTTAAAACTACAAGTTTTAATATCAACAGATCTGTTTATACTTTGCTATGTTGGGACACACACAACCTGAATGTCTTGGTAGTCACACAACCGATTGTGTTAGTCTTACCTGAAAAAAAATGTACAGTATTAAAACCCCTTAATTATACGATTTTCGTCTGCTTTTTTGAACATACGTTATCTGTAACAAATAATTTTCTTCCATTAACAAGAAATAGTGCCAAGATTAAGTCTGTCTTCAAGAGGGGCATTAGACATATACACAAGTAGAGCCAAATTAGTAATACTATGACAAAATCTCAATGCAAGCCACAAAAGCTGTTGTATACATGGGCAAGATTTAATGGAGGCAAATGCCATACACAAGCTGAACAGAATAGGTGAACAGAGCACTAGGCAAAAGGAAACGTGCCCAACCATTTCTGTCCCACCCGGGACTACTGACTGGGCCGAGAATGAACCCAATTGTACAGTACAGTACTACCAATTAAAATAAAGGACGTAGCTATAACTTCAATTGAAGAGGCCTGTAGCCCCCCAACCAACATGTATAATAGCAACAAAGTATGAGCATATATAATAATTATATGGATCGAGGTTTGTGAGGTTACCGGCATGCATAACACATGCACCAGAATGTGTTGCATATTGTGCACATGCACTCATGTCACTCAAAACCAGTTCCGAATATAAATTCTTGGTTAATCACATTCTAGAACAGTCAAGACTTGTATGTTACACTCATTTTCTACATTAAAAATAACCATTATACATGAAAAAAATATATATTTTTTAGAGGTATCTCGCTTATTAAGGTGGATATTTTGTGAGCCAAGGTAGTTAAATAAAAAGAGGCTGGTTCAATAGGCAAACTGTTAATTGCAATGTTTCTATATAGACTAATGACAAATTAATGTAAATGGGCATTAGTTTATATAGAAACATTACAATTAACATAAGCCAGTTTATTAATGTACATACTGGCAGAACAAGATTAATAAATCCCATAAAACCTCTAACACAATTCCATCCTAAATTAATAAAACAGCTTTTATTTACAAAAGCCAACTCAAAACTGGCAAAAATCATGCAAATACCTTACCAAGGCCAAAGGTTTATCAATAGGGTCCCTGCCTACCACCACAGGGTCTGCCCGAGGGTGAAGCCCAGGCACTGGTAACACCACTCTTGCCATATCAAAACCCTTTTTAAAATTCTCACTAATGACGTATAGAGAGCTTACAAATTTCAACAATATCCAAAACGGAACAAGACTGGAAAATAACTAATTTAATATTTAATTACATACACATCTATAGTACCACAATCAGCAGCAATAATTAAACAATGAATCTGGTAACCTGGCTAGGGTTACCTGATCAGACTGACCGCAGGTGGAGGACAGTACCTGGGTCCGTAGTGAGGTTCACCCACTAAGACACTTACCTATTATGCCATAAGCATTGCAATAAATGGTTGAACTATCAGTCCTTACATGATTTCAGAAGAGCTTAAAGCATGCAGGAGGAAAAATATATTAAACAATTTTAAGAGTGAATTTTTTTTAGTTATAAATGGTATAAAACTACTTTATATTAATTTGATTTGCAATGTCTAAAGCACTTTGCAATTATATGAATGAAAATCTCCATTGTGTACAAACGCTTATAAGCATATTTCAAATTAGTACAATTGTCTGCACAGTACTCATGTTTGCATTATCAGTCAAGAAGCTACAAATTCTATTTAATAGACAATTCAGACAATTTGCAAACAAAATATTATATACTGTACAGTACTAAAATATAAAGAATTTAATAAGAAAATAAGTGTGTAGGCATCAAGCCAGAAGGACTATACAGTATATCCAGGGAGGTTATAATATCCTTTCATCATGCAGGTGACAAAGGTAGTAGTGAAAAACAAAAATGAACTAATTAATTATTCCTTTAGTACCATGATGAGACTAGTTGTTATACTAACATTCATCCAACTTTTGAGTTGGGTTCACGAGTACAAAAAGTCAAACAAGACGGGGACAAACTGTGGCCCAACAGGATCACAGGGTCCATCCCTAGAGGATATAATGTGTACAATTTCTTACCTTGAGACCCAACGAGGAGTGTCACAGGTCGAACTTAACACCTACAATTCACTGAAGTACACAAACACCCTCCCCAAACTCCATGGAAAGGAAGTGTTCCACGGTAATGTTGGCTTCATTCCCAACTCACAATCGGGGATCCTAGGTCCGATTCCCGGCAGAACAAATAGTTGGGCACGTTTCTTTTCACCTAATGCCTCTATTCACCTAACAGTAAATAGGTACCCAGGAATTAGGTAACTGATGTGGAGTTGCATCCTAAGGAAGGTTAGTAGTTTAACTTTGGGGGAGGACTTCAATACAAGCCTAAGAATATGTATACATAGACTTCCTGTCCCCAACAAATCAAATCAATTGTACCAAATTAATCATGGAACACGTAGGAGATATCAGTGAAGTGCAAAATAGAAATGTGTTTGGATCAAAAGGACAAATTATTCAGGATACAAATGCTTTTACACAAAGAAAATATTATTTACTCTCCTTCCACTAGTAATCTACGAGTAAAAAATCAAAACGGAATAAAATTCAAGCTGTTGAAATAATGTAATGAATGTACGAGTTTTTAGTAAGAGAAGAGAAAAAGTAGAGCATAACAGATGTCAAATGGCAAATAATGACAAAGAACTGAAGTGTAGGGATATTAAGAGTGGATCAGAAGAAATACTTTTATCATCTGATCAGATGGAGAACATTATACCCAAAAGCACTGCACAGGGAATATGCAAGGATGGAAAGCAAGGGGGTTGTGGTGATTGATAGGCAATATATATATATCTTTGAATTAGGCAGAAAGTAAGTCAACATCAAGACTGGATGCTCATTTACACCTTGCCATAATTTCCTGGACTTCTGGGGGATAAAAAAAGACAGCCAAGATTTAGTTAGGAGTGAGTGATAATTAAACTACACTGACCTATAAAATGGTCAATAAGGAAAACAAATAAATAGGTGTATAGATCAATTTAGTAAATTCTAGGTGAGGCTGCAAATAATGGATCACAAGTTCTTGAGGTCAAGCTGGTTTTCAGCTTTTGTATCAACACACAGAATAGTTCAAAAGCAAATGTTCTTTATTTATTGAATATACATTATACAGTACATACATCAAATACTGTATAAACTATGATGTGCTAGAATTTAAATGCTTCCCATTAAAGGACTTGCCACCAAATACCCAGCATATGAGAAAATTAAATAACCATCATGAAAACCATACTATGATAATTCTCTGTTAGCATATAAAAAGTTGCAGATATTCACTTTAGAAAAAACAAAAAAACATAACTTTCTACTCTGAAATAGAATTGGGATTATTATTCCTCCCGTCATCTGAGCACGAGCCTCTGCAACACATGAACAAGCAATAGCATTATTTTACCTGAATTTACCCGAGGGCCACTAATACTAGTGGCCTCGATGACAACGGAAACCCGGCGGCTTGTCATAGGTCCCTACCCCCCCCCCTATTTGCCCTGATGATCTTCTGAAAATTATGTATATTAATCATTAATAAACGTACACATATCCCATTCATTCTGGCATTCAGTTCCTGAGCCCATTATGTGCTAACTATTTCCCGTACAACCCACACAATGGGTATGTGCATGCATGATTATATTATAAATCATTTACTCATTCATATTTTTTATATTATATATATATTATATATATATTATACATATACTTATATTAATGGGATTCTAGGTATGGATAATTTACATAACCCATGATTTTGTTCTTTGACATACACAATTTCTTGTAGATTAGGTTTCTACATAGGTTTATACCTATGGATTAGGTTTATACATATATATATATATATATACATATACATATATACATAATATATATATATTATACATATATATATCAAACACAAATGTTAAGTGATTTTTATTCACACACACGTGTTTGTCATTAATAGAGCAAGAAGGTTGAGCAAGAGCGCTCTCAAAGAGTACAGGGGAAGGGGGCAGGGGGGGGGTTGAGAGTCAGCTTCCCTGAATCACCTTAAGTGCCTCGTCAGCTTAACTGGCCAATTAACCTCCCCTGACAACCAGCCGATGCCACCACCTCTTAAATCCATCTAATAACATTCCCCTTCCCTCCTCCCCCCCCCCTCAACACCCCCAAGGGAAGGAGGGGGGTGTCATGTGGGCATCACCATTTAGGGAGAGGGACGAGTGCCTCCTGGAATAAATAAATATATATACGTAATGGAAGGCAGCAGTGGAGGGAGGGAGATGGCAGCCCGGCTCAGCTGACCAGGCCACAACACCTTCCCTCACCCCCCCCCCCTTCCCCACACACACACACACGCACGCAAAACATAAATTCTGCCATTATATGCCGTCTACCATTAAAACCCACCAACGTAAATAGCAACTTATATCTTGAAAAACAAAATAACACGCCAAAAGTAACATGACACCGAATTAAACTCGTAAATTATGACAAAAGACAGCCATCCTCCACACATACGTGCAACCACATGACTTAAAAAAAAGGTTACGCGACGCAGGTAGAGAGAAAAAAATATTGAATTAATTATCGTCTTACCAAGTCTCTAAATTGGAGAACTTCTTGGTGACCACCTTGCCCAAATCAATGCCCAGGCGGTCGACGACCCGCTGGGCCAGGTCCGGGTGGGAGGAGCCCGAGAAGATCTTGATGTTGGGCATCCTCAAGGAGGAGGAGGAGCGGGCAGGAGGTGTGGTGGTGGCGGGCAGGAGGGCGAGACACGCAGGAGCGAGCACTGAGGAGCAGCCCGACGTCGTCTTCCCCTCCGCCGCTGCGTCAAGCATTCCAATATCCTCCCGCGCTGCTCCTCTCTTCGAGCCACTCATGCAACTCTACGAAAAGACGCATCAACCAAGTTTTTTTTAGATGTGTGTGCGTATATTTATATCTAGCGCTATATTGTTTTCCTCTTTGAACTGCTATAGGCTATCCTTATTATTTTAAAGTTGCAAATGTTTAATATATCTCTGATAATTGTGTAATATTATTGGATTTTATTTACCCGGGTAAACTCTATGTTTGTGCTCGAATGCGTTCAATCTATCCTAGTTATGATAAAATAAGCAGATATATTATATTGTAAACTTCTACGTTCATGGTAAGTGTTATAGTTATTCACAACATATAGTTGCTCATTTACATAGATCAAATATATCTAAATGTAACACTGGTTTTCGATTACTGGAGTATCAATCAACCTTTATATACACGCTTCGAAAGCAAAATTATAATAGTTATTTAATAACATTATCTTACTCTCTTAATATACATATATATACATCTATCAGTAGGCGTATGCAGATTTGAGTAACCTAAGAGGTAGGGACCAAGATAGGCCGCAGGCTATTTATCAAGGTCACGCGTACGGGCAGCCTCGGAGACAGTACACATCGGTCCATAGAATTACCCAAATCGGCCCAAAACTACACAAATCGCCCTAGCATTACGTAAGTAATGAAGAAATATGGTATATTTACTTACTATAATGTTGGTGCTACACGTAGAACATGATCAAACCTATTTTTACTCTGAAATAATCTAATTTCATAACGAAATGAGACGTAAATATCTGAGAGGTGACGCCATAGGAAGTCGACGGTCCAAGCGACAATTGTGTGGAGCGACTTATCCAAGATATATGGTCGCCTGGAGAGTGTTTGCTGCCATATCAGCCTCCTGTACACAGTGATCCAGTGGTCGCATTTCATGGCTCAAATTGTCGCAAATTAATTGGTGATATTAAGAAGTAGAATGTGTATTTATATAATATCTTTCATAAACAGCCTTTAAATCTTTAATATTTATTAAACAAAACGTGTCTGGAAGTTAAATCAACTCCACAGGACAATAAATTTGTTATATAGATACTAGCGTTATTCGTTGGTATGCGTTCGCAATTTAAACTGCTCATGTCCTTTTCGTTCATTGAACATCGAACCCTACACAACCATGCACAACTCAAAGTCCAACAAGTCACACCCCCGGAGTAATGCAATCGGAACCTGACAAGTTGTGTAACCGGAGCCCGACCAGTTGTCTAACTGCAAGCCTAACATGAACGAACCAAACAAACAACCTCTGGATCACAACCATGCACGAACGGAAGCCCGACCATGCACAACCCAAATCTCAGGTGACACCCCCGGAGCCCGACCAGTTACTTAACCGGAGCCCGACCAGTTGTGTAACCGGAGCCCGACCAGTTGTGTAACCAGACCCCGACCAGTTATGTAACCGGAGCCCGACCAGTTGTGTAACCGAAACCCCACCAGTTGTGTAACCAGACCCCGACCAGTTGTCTATGCTTAAGCCTAGCAAGTATACATCTCATCCAACCCCCACAAAGCTAAACAGTCCCAGAGCACAACCAAGCTCCATTCCTAGCTCGACCAAACAAAGATCTCATTATCCCTACCTAAAATCCTCCACTTGCCCTAGACACCAACTATTGACCCATAGCAAACAATTGAACTATATACAAAAAAAGAAACCCGGATTTCTAGCAAACATATAAACATAGAGCCTTAGCAAACAAACCTAGAGCACTAGTACACAACCGCTGAAGCACAACCATGCACGAACCGAAGCCTCACCATGCACAACCCACAGCCCCAGTGACACCCCCGGAGCCCGACCAGTTAATATAACCGGAGCCCGACCAGTTATTTAACCGGAGCCCGACCAGTTATTTAACCGGAGCCCGACCAGTTGTGTAACCGAAGCTCGACCAGTTGTGTAACCAGACCCCGACCAGTTGTGTAACCAGACCCCGACCAGTTGTGTAACCAGACCCCGACCAATTGTCTAATCTTAAACCTAGCAAGAATACATCTCATCCAACCCCCGCAAAGCTAAACAGTCCCAGAGCACAACCAAGCTCCATTCCTAGCTCGACCAAACAAAGATCTCATTAGCCCTACCTAAAATCCTCCACTTGCCCTAGACACCAACTATTGACCCATTATAAACAATTGAACTATATACAAAAAAGAAACCCGGATTTCTTGCAAACATATAAACAGAGCCTTAGCAAACAAACCTGGAGCACTAGTACACAAACAACCGCTGAAGCACAACCATGCACGAACCGAAGCCTGACCATGCACAACCCACAGCCCCAGTGACACCCCCGGAGCCCGACCAGTTAATATAACCGGAGCCCGACCAGTTATTTAACCGGAGCCCGACCAGTTATTTAACCGGAGCCCGACCAGTTGTGTAACCGAAGCTCGACCAGTTGTGTAACCAGACCCCGACCAGTTGTCTAACCTTAAGCCTAGCAAGTATACATCTCATCCAACCCCCACAAAGCTAAACAGTCCCAGAGCACAACCAAGCTCCATTCCTAGCTCGACCAAACAAAGATCTCATTAGCCCTACCTAAAATCCTCCACTTGCCCTAGACACCAACTATTGACCCATAGCAAACAATTGAACTATATACAAAAAAGAAACCCGGATTTCTAGCAAACATATAAACACAGAGCCTTAGCAAACAAACCTAGAGCACTAGTACACAACCGCTGAAGCACAACCGTGCACGAACCGAAGCCTGACCATGCACAACCCACAGCCCCAGTGACACCCCCGGAGCCCGACCAGTTAATATAACCGGAGCCCGACCAGTTATTTAACCAGAGCCCGACCAGTTATTTAACCGGAGCCCGACCAGTTGTGTAACCGAAGCTCGACCAGTTGTGTAACCAGACCCCGACCAGTTGTCTAACCAGACCCCGACCAATTGTCTAATCTTAAACCTAGCAAGAATACATCTCATCCAACCCCCGCAAAGCTAAACAGTCCCAGAGCACAACCAAGCTCCATTCCTAGCTCGACCAAACAAAGATCTCATTAGCCCTACCTAAAATCCTCCACTTGCCCTAGACACCAACTATTGACCCATTATAAACAATTGAACTATATACAAAAAAGAAACCCGGATTTCTAGCAAACATATAAACAGAGCCTTAGCAAACAAACCTGGAGCACTAGTACACAAACAACCGCTGAAGCACAACCATGCACGAACCGAAGCCTGACCATGCACAACCCACAGCCCCAGTGACACCCCCGGAGCCCGACCAGTTAATATAACCGGAGCCCGACCAGTTATTTAACCGGAGCCCGACCAGTTATTTAACCGGAGCCCGACCAGTTGTGTAACCGAAGCTCGACCAGTTGTGTAACCAGACCCCGACCAGTTGTCAAACCTTAAGCCTAGCAAGTATACATCTCATCCAACCCCCACAAAGCTAAACAGTCCCAGAGCACAACCAAGCTCCATTCCTAGCTCGACCAAACAAAGATCTCTTTAGCCCTACCTAAAATCCTCCACTTGCCCTAGACACCAACTATTGACCCATAGCAAACAATTGAACTATATACAAAAAAGAAACCCGGATTTCTAGCAAACATATAAACACAGAGCCTTAGCAAACAAACCTAGAGCACTAGTACACAACCGCTGAAGCACAACCATGCACGAACCGAAGCCTGACCATGCACAACCCACAGCCCCAGTGACACCCCCGGAGCCCGACCAGTTAATATAACCGGAGCCCGACCAGTTATTTAACCGGAGCCCGACCAGTTATTTAACCGGAGCCCGACCAGTTGTGTAACCGAAGCTCGACCAGTTGTGTAACCAGACCCCGACCAGTTGTCTAACCTTAAGCCTAGCAAGTATACATCTCATCCAACCCCCACAAAGCTAAACAGTCCCAGAGCACAACCAAGCTCCATTCCTAGCTCGACCAAACAAAGATCTCATTAGCCCTACCTAAAATCCTCCACTTGCCCTAGACACCAACTATTGACCCATAGCAAACAATTGAACTATATACAAAAAAGAAACCCGGATTTCTAGCAAACATATAAACATAGAGCCTTAGCAAACAAACCTGGAGCACTAGTACACAAACAACCGCTGAAGCACAACCATGCACGAACCGAAGCCTGACCATGCACAACCCACAGCCCCAGTGACACCCCCGGAGCCCGACCAGTTAATATAACCGGAGCCCGACCAGTTATTTAACCGGAGCCCGACCAGTTATTTAACCGGAGCCCGACCAGTTGTGTAACCGAAGCTCGACCAGTTGTGTAACCAGACCCCGACCAGTTGTCTAACCAGACCCCGACCAGTTGTGTAAGCCCCGACCAATAATCTTAAACCTAGCAAGTATACATCTCATCCAACCCCCGCAAAGCTAAACAGTCCCAGAGCACAACCAAGCTCCATTCCTAGCTCGACCAAACAAAGATCTCATTAGCCCTACCTAAAATCCTCCACTTGCCCTAGACACCAACTATTGACCCATAGCAAACAATTGAACTATATACAAAAAAGAAACCCGGATTTCTAGCAAACATATAAACACAGAGCCTTAGCAAACAAACCTGGAGCACTAGTACACAACAACCGCTGAAGCACAACCATGCACGAACCGAAGCCTGACCATGCACAACCCACAGCCCCAGTGACACCCCCGGAGCCCGACCAGTTAATATAACCGGAGCCCGACCAGTTATTTAACCGGAGCCCGACCAGTTATTTAACCGGAGCCCGACCAGTTGTGTAACCGAAGCTCGACCAGTTGTGTAACCAGACCCCCAGACCAGTTGTCTAACCTTAAGCCTAGCAAGTATACATCTCATCCAACCCCCACAAAGCTAAACAGTCCCAGAGCACAACCAAGCTCCATTCCTAGCTCGACCAAACAAAGATCTCATTAGCCCTACCTAAAATCCTCCACTTGCCCTAGACACCAACTATTGACCCATAGCAAACAATTGAACTATATACAAAAAAGAAACCCGGATTTCTAGCAA